CCCCTATAAAAGGGGGCCAAGGTACCTCATTCTCTCATCCTCTATTCATTGATTACTACACACTCTCTCTCTTGATGTGAGGACTGACTTAGGCATCGGAGGCCCGACGCTGGGGCCACCCCCGGTGTTGGGTTCTGCAGGTACGGAGGTCGTTCGAGTTGAAGGAGCCCGGGTGAAACTTATTCACTTCACCTATATTTTTCTACTTGTCCAAAGTCTACATTACAATCCAAAAGACCTTTTGATTCTTACTTCTCGTACAATAATTTGATTTAGTAAAGTTAGACGATTTACAAGCTTATAGTTGACTTTGTATTTTGAACTAACTTGAGCGTGCCCTTCTAATCTTTTTGATGATATTTCACAAGATTTGAGTGAGACACATATACATTTGATCTTATTTGCGAGTTCATTAGTACAAAGTTTTTATCAAGTTAATAGTTGAGGCATATGTATTTGTGATTACTTGAATTTATCTTGATTATTTGGGTGACTTGAGGCTTTTCTTGTTTGGATTGACTCTTTCATGCACGTGGTTTGTTTTTGCTTTTTCGTTGTTCGGGGACGAACAAAGATTAAGTTTGGGGGATTTGACATGCGTTATTTTACGTGCATTTTAGAGTGATTTTTGTACCCGTTTCATCATAGTTTGGTATATAATTATTTATGTATTTAATTAATTTTATAAAAACATTATGAGGTATTTTATTTTTAGTTTTAACAGGAAATATGGATGAAATTAATTTTTGGAGTCGAAAACAGTTAGAATCGGTTGAAAACGGGATGTGAGTTGTGTATTGAGACGGACCAATTACAAGGCCCGACTACAGAGAAAGATATCATTTTTTTTAACAATATATTGGGCCAAGAAGTAGCACATAGTAGCCCGTTACATATCTAGAGTTAGATGAGGGGCAAGTTGGTCATTTTCATGAATTTTAGTATGTCTTCCTCAAGCTTTACTCATACAAACCGGCCAACCACCTGCACGTTGCAACCCATGGCTGCCACTGTACGTCCGACCAGCCCGCATCAGCCAGATCTTCGGTGATGCTCGGAATCTAAAGATACATATCGACCGCCATCGTTGCCTTGCAGCCGGAGAAGACGCTTTGAGGGGTTGTGCGACCATCGAGAAGCTGTTGTCGCCAAGCTGAGGGAGAGCTGACCAGAACTCGCCATTTTCGACCGCCGAAGACCACCCCTTTCGGTGAAAACCGCGCCTAAGAAGCTGTTGTCAGAAGCTGATGGGAATGACCAAATTTTTTCACGATCGAGAACCACCATGTCCGACGTACTTTTCATCTCTTGGAGGCCACATGGGATTTCGAATATTCGTCCACGAGAACTTATATGCGCTAAAAATAAAATTCCGAGCATGTTCAACCTTCCAAGACCAACACGAGAAGTGTGACTTCGTACACGGGTCCAGTTGCGCCGATCGGGTCCAAAACGAGCTCTCAAAATTGTCACACAACTCGCGTGACATTTACACACGAGTCGTGTGGGCCTGGGCACAATGAAATTTAATTTTTCGACCTAGTTCGACTAGGACTTGAATCCAACTATTTAAAGAACACTAGGGCATATTTTTGAAGGAGTCTTTGGGAGTTTTTCAAAGTTTTGGAGGCTAGAAACACGCACAAGACGAGCGAGAAAACATGGAAGAAGAGATCGACATAGCCGAATAAGCTTTTTCTTTCTTTTTCTTTTCGTTTATCAGATTCAATGTTCTACATTTATTTTTCAGGTTTTAGAAGCATTTTTTAGGCTAAATTTATCATAGATTCTATGATTTGTTAATACTCAGATTGAATTATGATCTAGCTTTTATTGCTTTAATTCCGGTTTATCTTCAATTTATCGGTTTCTTGTGCTTATTATTATTGTATGAGTAGATGACCAATATGAATGCATATTTATGGCTGATTTGAGGCCGAGAGGTGATAATTGATTGTTAGAACTCAAAAATTAATGACGTAAGAGAACAAACAGGTCGAGATGTTGATAAGATCCTTCGAGAGAACGAAAATCCTAGAAACTTATGGAGTTGGTTGTTCATCTTGAGTGTAAGAAACTGGGAGAAAAAAGGGTACAGTCCCACTAACATGAATCGCACCAAAAGCGGGAAAAACCCATATGAAGCCCAAGTGGGGTTCCATCCCAAAACCAATTGGTGGAAGGAGGAGTAGCCCATTAGACTTATAAGGTGGGTCTATTTTCCATGTATGAACGATGTGGGACAACTCACAAGTGATATTCTAACACGCCCCCTCACTTGTGAGTCCTTCAGAAGCCCAAAGCCCAATTGGGTGCCCCAAGCCTACTAGAAGTAGACTCCCATAAACGGGTACGTGGGGAAGCAGACTCCCATAAACGGATGCGAGAAGCCCAAGCCCAACTGGGTGCCCCAAGCCTACTAGATGTAGACTCTCATAAACGGGTACGTGGGGAAGCAAACTCCCATAAACGGGTACGTCATCACACGGTCCCAATAGAACGGGCTCTGATATCATGTAAGAAACTGGGGGAAAACGGGTGCGGTCCCACTAATATGAAGCGCACCATGAGAGGGAAAAACCCATATGAAGCTCAAATGGGGTTCCATCCCAAAACCAATTGGTGGAAGGAGGAGTAGCCATTAGACTTATAAGGTGGGTCTATTTCCCATGTATGAACGATGTGGGACAACTCACAAGTGATATTCTATCACGCTCCCTCACTTGTGAGTCCTTCGGAAGCCCAAGCCCAACTGAATGCCCCAAGCCTACTATAACTAGACTCCCATAAACGGGTACGTGGGAAAACAGACTCCCATAAACGGATGCGAGGAGCCCAAGCCCAACTGGGTGCCCCAAGCCTACTAGAAGTAGACTCCCATAAACAGGTACGTGGGGAAGCAGACTCCCATAAATGGATACGTCGTCGCACGGTCCCAATAGAACCGGCTCTGATACCATGTAAGAAACTGGGGGAAAACGGGTGCGGTCCCACTAACATGAATCGCACCAAAAGCGGGGAAAACCCATATAAAGCCTAAGTGGGGTTCCATCCCAAAACCAATTGGTGGAAGAAGGAGTAGCCCATTAGACTTATAAGGTGGGTCTATTTTCCATGTATGAACGATGTGGGACAACTCACAGGTGATATTCTAACATTGAGACCCAGAGGAGATATATAACAATTAATCTATACGATTTAACTTGTTTAAGAGTTAAATTAAGTTTGCGATTATCTCTAGTAATCTTAAATAAGGTTTGGTTGAATTAAAACATTTTATAAATTAATTTCAAGGAACGCTTAACTTAAAATCTATTTTTTATATCTTGATTTATTTTTCATATTGTTTTAGATAAATTAGGTCTTTGTTTAATTTCTTTAATTTGTAATCATCATCCAAATTTGTTAGTCTAAATAATATTTAATCGTAATTACTTTTTGTTTTAATTAATTTAAATACAATCTCAATAGAATACGACTTTTGCTCGACGCTTACTCTAGCTACCCGTACACCTGCGGATGGAGAAAATAATTAGCAAACACAAACCAAAAAAAAAAAAAAAA